GCAAATGACAAAGCGTTCCTCTGTTTCTCGTGTGTTTTAAATACAGGTACAACAATCCGACAAAAAATGTTATGATAGAGTACCCTATAGCCAAGGGCTTGAGTTGAAGTAGATAGATAGATAGATAGATAGATAGATAGATAGATAGATAGATAGATAGATAGATAGATAGATAGATAGATAGATAGATAGATAGATAGATAGATAGATAGATAGATAGATAGATAGATAGATAGATAGATAGATAGATAGATAGATAGATAGATAGATAGATAGATAGATAGATAGATAGATAGATAGATAGATAGATAGATAGATAGATAGATAGATAGATAGATAGATAGATAGATAGATAGATAGATAGATAGATAGATAGATAGATAGATAGATAGATAGATAGATAGATAGATAGATAGATAGATAGATAGATAGATAGATAGATAGATAGATAGATAGATAGATAGATAGATAGATAGATAGATAGATAGATAGATAGATAGATAGATAGATAGATAGATAGATAGATAGATAGATAGATAGATAGATAGATAGATAGATAGATAGATAGATAGATAGATAGATAGATAGATAGATAGATAGATAGATAGATAGATAGATAGATAGATAGATAGATAGATAGATAGATAGATAGATAGATAGATAGATAGATAGATAGATAGATAGATAGATAGATAGATAGATAGATAGATAGATAGATAGATAGATAGATAGATAGATAGATAGATAGATAGATAGATAGATAGATAGATAGATAGATAGATAGATAGATAGATAGATAGATAGATAGATAGATAGATAGATAGATAGATAGATAGATAGATAGATAGATAGATAGATAGATAGATAGATAGATAGATAGATAGATAGATAGATAGATAGATAGATAGATAGATAGATAGATAGATAGATAGATAGATAGATAGAGATTGATGGACCAACTGCAAAATATCTATGGAATAATGAAGACCAGCGTTGTCTTAAGAAGCATTCGGTTTTCCTCCTGAGAGAAAATTTATTTTCCCCGGGCTTCTTGGGCCTCAGAGATGCTGCGATGGTCTTTTCATAACTACAAAATTTATTCCCAAATTTCCGGCATGTAACCACGATCCCCGTGATTCCTTCCACTCCTTTATGAGTGCACTGGTCTGTACGATATCGGCCAAGCGTGGTACATTGATCAACTGAGGTGCGACCGCTTTCCCAATACCATCTGACTTAGGTGACGTTCTCGAAGGTGTTACAGAGGAGGAATATTGTATAGCTCGATTCCAGTCAGGCTTCTGCAAGCTAAATAGAGAAAGTGCGACATTATAAAACACTTGAAGGTTCTGGACCAAAATTTTTATACCGCCACACGGATTTCCATATCTCGAATTCCAGCCGCGCTTCTCACACTATACCATCTCAGCCTTATTGGAATCCGTACATACAAAACTGTCGAGGCAATCCCAGTAGGGTTTAACTACACACGACTGATTGATTGTCGGGTAACTTGAAGGGCAATTGGTTGGAACAATCACATCATAGTTTAACCAGCCAATCGGCATACACTCATCTAATATCGAAGCTGACGGTTGCTCTTGTGTGTGCGACTACTCGGATTGGATGAGTTCAGCGACCTATGGGGTCTGAGTTTTGTGTCTTTCTATGCAGCTGAACTGAGTGAGTTTCGTCCTATTTTCCAGAAGCATGCTTCTGTCCCCGTTAACAGTTTTTGTTCTACAAGCAGTCTTGAGCACTGGTTCAACTTGTCCCCCACCGTATTTGCAAATAGATTCGGACTTGTGTGTTGTAAAGGTGGAACAGTCAGGATCATTTTGCAGTGCCTGTGAGATGTGCAAACGGTATGGCGCTGCACGTGGTCATTTGACATTTCTCATTGGTCGAAATACCCGTCGAGTGATGCCTCACCTGCCTAACTGCACCAATCTCTGGCTCGGATTCAACTGGTTTCTAACAACAATGAATCGCTCCTCTGTCGGATGGCACGATGTTGACCCGCGAACACCACAATACACAACAAAGGGGGAGGAAATTCTATGGGATCTCAATGATCCATCGGGTACGGAGCCCGTAGTTGTCTCCAGATGTCTGACAAAAACGATGTTCGGTTGTTCAGTTCTGTGCAAGTTGGTGCCCTTGAGCGTCTATTGTGAATACGGTGGTCAGCTGCCCATTGAAAATCGGCAGCAACTATATCGCTCGGACTTTCCTGTGCAGCTAAAAGATAACTTTATCCTTCCTTCAACGAAGTTTCTAGGATGCTACCAAGAGATACCGACAAATTCGATGATAGAATGTGCACACAAGTAAGCATCTGATAGTTCGGTGGCGATGAGTTTCCTTATCAACCGAATAACTATATTTTTTAGCTTTGATGGTACTTTACTTCAGTTGGATGTGAGATTGTCTCGTTATATTTCGAAACTTCCATGAGCTTGCTTTGTGGGTCCAGATTACACACATCTCTAAATCTGGTGTTCTTTATCTCTTATTTTTCATTTCCTGTGTTCAACAAAACAGGTGTACGGTGAATATGCAATGCAGATCCTTCTACTTTGGGCAGTATAATCTACGCTGTGTCCATACGTTGCACGCGGATTCCCTCCTACCCTCAGTGTTCGTGATGAAGGCGGCGGACTGGAAGCGATTTGCCAAGATCCCATATCCGGACAGTCGGCAGATAAAACATGAACCATAGCAGCCTACCTTGTGCGGAGTAGCTGCAATCCCTCTAAGCAGCAGATGGATGAACACTTGACTTTAGAGGTTGTCCAGCAGTCACGCGTTCCAGTGTTACTGTCATTGATTGATTATGTGAAGGTCAGAAGGCTTTCAAACACCAGTTTCTCTGTTTCAGCCGTTTCATTCATTTCACTGTGTAACAAGTAACAAGCCTTATTAGAAATTAAGAGACAGAAAATTTCCATCTCACATTTTCTGAAACTGTTTCCGACAGTGCATAGAGGCCTGTTTATTCTAGCAAAGTCATTTGCTGAAGAGATTCTTGTTCCATTTTCCACTTTCCCAATTTAGTCCACGAGTGTTTGGCCAACTAAGTCCGCCTCATTGCTTTTTCTCACTTGTATATCAAACTTCTTTGGGCATTCAAAGAAACTCACAGACTCCATGTGACATATCCATATCTTTTTTCTCAGAACCTCTACATCCCTTTTACACACAGTCTCTCTTGTTTTCAGAAACACAGATGAAAAAGTGCAATTTTTCTTCCATTTTGTTGTATCTGTTCACAATGGCTCTTGCAAGTACAATAAATCCCGCCTTCTGAGTTTCCTGTTTCCTGATATTGTTGTTTCGAATGCTGTTCCAACCTACAGCGGACCGAATAAACGGTTTGAACGCTTCTGGCCTCCACATATACACTTCTCATTGTGCTTTCACTCGTCCTTTTTGGTGAACTGACTCCATCGCCAAACAACTGACACCTTTTCAAAAGAAAACTACTCTCAAGGTTGCTGAAAACTCTTCGACTGGTTTTGCCCTTCTTGGGGCTCATCAGGTAGGCGCATTCCCCGAGTCTCCATCAACCTTATGTTCTACTTAAACCCAAATTGGACCGTTTCCGAGAAATACACTTATTTGCAAATCAATTTGATTTGAGTCTCTCGTGAAAACCAAATAGATTTGCGAACGAATGTATCTCTCGAAAGCTGACGCCTTTGTTATTCTCAAATCTAATCCCCTTCGTCCCATTAAAACGTCGATCTTGAGTAATATTGGTGGGTTAGTTCGATGGAATGCGGATTCTTTCTAGTGTAATCCTGAATTGTTCGGTCATCCAAGACATTTTTGAGCTCAGAAGGCAAGAAGAACGGCCCTTGTGGTAAGTGACGGGTACCATTCTGACGATTAGTCATCCCTACTTGACGAGACTCCGCAGTTGGGTATTCTGCGAAACAGACAGGAAGGGGGGAAATCAGTTGTTCTAGCAGTAGTTCCTATAAGAATGATCACAACAAACAAGATTTTCAAGATCTCGAATCTCACAGAGGGTGTACGCCTGATTTGTTCGTAACTGGCATATTTGGGAAGGAAGGAAGGCCTTCGCTGCGGAGTTTTCCACTAGGGAAACACCAAATGAACAGCCACAGACTGTTGGACAGAGGAGCAAAACTCTCATATGCATCTTGTTTACAAAACTGAATATCCATATTCCCCTTCAACGCGTCTTTCAGAACTTTCTTAGATATTCATTGACTGTTGCTCAAGTGCAAGCAAATGCGACTCCACGAATTCCGTAATAGATCTCACTTTTCAAGAAACGCGAAGCGGATTTACGAGAGAACACACTACTCACATGCCTCATCAGTACTATCCACCGTTGTAACGTTCTGTCGTCGGGATCTCTCTGTAGTCGCATTTGC